GAAAGCCTTTCCTTAGATTTGTGGTGGGTGCCTCAGCTCCAGCCTCAGCCCTAGGCTCTGGGCTGAAGCCAGAGCTGAGCCATCACCTGCCCTGGGTCCAAGTGGCTCATTTGGCAGGAGAGCACGGCGGAATGTGGGCAATGGTGAAAACCCACATGTGGCTTGATGGAGAGTGTGGGGGAGACTGTGCAGCCTGCATCTTCCTCCCCCCCATTTGTCCCCTCCCCCACTTAGCTTTTGCTCTGGCTCCAATCTTTCTAGCTCTGACTCAGCCTGCCCTGGAGCTGCTGCTGTCGTTGCCTGCCCTGGAGCTACAGCACAGCTGCAGCAGGCAACAGGGTAGTGGGCAGGCATGGGATGGGGCCAAGGGGTAGGCATAGGCATACAGAGGCAAAGGGAGGATAGGCAGTGAAGGGGAAAAAAAGGAGGCAAAGGAGATAGGCACAGGGAAAACAAGGGGCAGTGGTCTGGCTTTCCTCCACTGCTTTCCCTACCACAGCAGTGCAGGGGTAGGGAGAACAAATTTAAAACAAGCCCCCAATTATTGAATTCTATACAAGGAAAAATCAGAAACAAATTTTTTTCATGTATAGAATCTAATAAGGGCATGGGCTCATCTTAAATTCCAAGTCATCTTGGATTTGGGTATATATGGTAATTGTTGAGCTTACACAAACAATTTGAAGTAGCTTAATTAGCCTGAGTCCAAGATAACTTTTTTTTGTCTTTAACTTATATTTAAAGGCTAACTCTAAAATCTTGTTTTTGAAAGTTTCCTTTTGCAAATCATGTTATTTTTTCATTAATAGAAAAAAAATCCAGATTTATTTCCATACCTAAACTAAAAGCAACTTTTTTTAAAAAATGCATTTGCATGCATAGTGCTATACCAATATGCTGTTTTTCATATAAAGCTTATCATAAATACTACTGCAAGTCGCTAAGAGAAATTCAGCCACAAAAGATCTCTCCTTAAAATCTGACATATTACCTTTTTATTGATTAGAAACCACTGTGGTTTATGCAAAGGTCGAAAACCCATTCCTCCTTGGCAATGGGCAAAAGCTCGAGCCCTGTTTGAATGAATCACACCTCTTGTAGCTACAGATGCGCTGTACTGCTGGAGAGTAGGTCGTGACTAAAACAAATTAAGGCATTATCAAAATGTGAAGCAAGTGACAGTATAGAAGACTAAGGTGAACAAACACTGCTGTTAATCTGTATTTTTTCTGCACCTATACTTGACACATTAGATTACCAAGAGAGTACTACTAACATGAAAGAATAAATGGAATCAGTTATTTCATATAAAGGCATATTCTATAAATTACTTCTAAAATGCATTTGTCAAAATCCTAAAAAAACTACAGGAACATATTAATGAAAAGCACACGAAAAATGCATTAAACTGCATAACAAACATCTTTTCTACTCTTATAATTTAGGATACATTAACATTTTAATTTTGCCTACATCCTGTGAGTACTTAAAATTTCCCTAGTTCAAGGATTTAAAATGGGAAAATTTTATTTTTCTTTTGACTATACATATGTAGTTTGGGGCATGAAAGTTAAAAGAAACAAAACCAAAAAAAACTTACACTCCAGGTACTGCAGAGGAAGTCAGCAGTACTCAAATATTCACTGGCTCTCACAACATCATCTATATCCATGAAAAATTCTACATAGTTTTGGTGAAGGTATAAATTAAACAGGTCTCCATGCATATGCGATTTTTCTACTACATCCTATTTAATAAAAGAAGTATACAAATTAGTATGTCTTTCATGACAGGGTGAAAGAAAAAACTTCCTGGTAAATTTTCCTATCTTTGGTTATCTATTACATACACATACATATATCCATCCTTCAGTTTTATTTACATTTTACAGTGAATGCTGCATTTTTTAAACATGCATAAATACCAAGTTATATTTTTATTTAAAAAAAACAAACAAAAAAACCCCCCAAAAAAACCCAACCCAGCATGAAATGATTAATGAAAACTTTTACCTCAGGTTGAACAAGTAAGGTATCACGTTCATGTTCTGATAAGTGAGAGGGTAGCTGAGGAGATTCTGAACAGGATAGCGGTTCTCCTACAAGTAAACGGCGTTTCAGTCTTTTAACATTAAAATGCAAAAACTACATTTGTGCTGAACATTAGCCCAGAAACAAAAATAAATTTAAATATAAATTTCAACTTGTGTGTTGTTGATAACGAGCTCAGAGCCAAGTGACCCATGTAAATAATTAATTATTTACTAAAATACAAAGAATGATTTGTGATTTATAACAATGGAACCATCAGGCATTTCTTGGCAATTAATAACTACATTAAGAACTGCTAGCTTCTTTTGACAGCACATGGTTTATCAAAGCAATATTAGTTAATTACCCTGTGCTATCTAGTCAGAAATACAAAGTTAATGACATCACAAATCACGCATAATGTAATTACTCAAAATGATTTCCGCCATCTTCCACCATTTTCTCATCACCTCTTTGGAACACAGCTTGTGATTGATTACAGCCTTGTTTTACACTACAGTATTTTACAGACCAAACACTAGTTCTCCTGACAGAAGTTGCATGCATTCAAATTCAAAGCTCTTTTTAGGTGTCAGAACCCTACTTCTTGCTGGTAGTTAACTCCATCTCTACTAAGTAAAGGCTTTTGCCATCACCTAGTTGCTATAGCCAAGAAACTCCTGCATTTTCTGCTGGCTGATGCACTCCTTTTTTGCAGTTGGGGCCTTCCTAGAGTTCCTGTGCTATGGGGATACAGCAGACATGTGTACATGTTGCCGTACAGCAGTGTTGTTTCTGTGCTGTGTTTTAGCACTTTCTTTTGGAAGTACTAAAACACGGCGCAGTAACTGCCCCTATTGCACCATACAAGCGGCACATGTGAAGATTTCCCCACTACACTGCCATGCACTATAGGCAGGGAGTACACTGCTACAGCAACAAGCTAGCAATCGCATGCAGACCTGTATGATCGCTACGGCGATGTAGCGCACTGTACTGCAATGTAGTGCATCACTACGTCGCTGTAGGGCATAGTGTAGACATGCCCAGTGAGTACTTTGGCTAGCTAGGGATGCCCACAGTCTGGTGTTTGGGCAAGAACTGGCAACAGAGGGCATAAGTATATACATGGCCCGTGCCGAATATACATCATATACCTGGGATACTTGGACAACTAGCAACTGCTATTTTATTACTTTAAAAAAGGCTATTGGCAATTGCTGAAGTTATTAGTTACCAAACCAACAGTTTACTTACACAGGAAGCAAGGATTTTTGTGAGTGATCGCTTTTATTGGACCAACTGCATGGTTGTGGCAAACTTAACATGCATTTCCTAGAATTATGTGCAACTAAACTAACTCCACAAACCTAATCACTAGCTACAGAATGTTAGTTGTTTCACAATGAAATCAAGAGGAATAACAAGGTAATAAAAGTTCTCTTACTTTTGCAGTAAAGTATTTTTCCCAAGGCATGGAAAAGAAAGATAGAGGCATCTTTGCCACCAATTGCTTGTACTGCCTGGCTTTCTAAAACATTATCAGACTTCTTTTTCTTCTTGGCTCTAGATGCTATTTCACATTTTAATGTAGAACTCCCTTTATTCCTTGACCATAAGTTTGTCTCTGATGAGTAGTCTATCAATCAAAGCAAAAGACAACTTATATAAAGGAAGTATTCAGAACAGCAGTAAAACCACTGAAGAACTATTAATCCCATTATTCATTCAGTTGACTGATTTTTCATTTCCAAAATAGAGCCTCTCTCAGTGGCTTAGAAATTTCTTCCTTGTTAATAATTAAATAGCATACTCATTTATTTGGAGGGCATATGTAAGTGGACTAAATACAAAAAAAAAATACATATCTCCTCATAGAAACACCAACAGTGTTACTGCTTTACCAATACCACCTTTGTCATACTTCCTATAAAAGTTATATTATGTAATATCATAAGTGTGTGTCAAATATTCGACTTATGCTGGAATTTGACTGACCATGTTAATAATAATATTTTAGTTAAATTGTTACGCTGAGATGTGAGCATGTAAAAATACTATAATATTAACTATATGATTGATGGCACTGTGGAGGGTAGGGACACACATAACATCTGAAGCAGCTGAAAGTGCAGCTGCACTTTTAAGTGTTAACACCTGCCACCCCTACCCAAATAGAGTGCTTCAGCCATGGAAAGATGTAAAGTAGGCCTGTGCAAAGCATAGTTTCATAGTTTCTAGGGTCGGAAGGGACCTGAGCAGATCATCTAGTCCGACCCCCTGCCATGGCAGGAAAGAGTACTGGGGTCAAACGACCCCAGTAAGGTGGTCATCCAACCTCCTCTTAAAAACCCCCAGGGTGGGAGCCTGCACCACCTCACTTGGAAGCTGGTTCCAGACTCTAGCCGCCCTGACCGTGAAGTAGCGCCTCCTGATGTCCAACTTAAACCTTCCCTCCGCCAGCTTGTGACCGTTGTTCCTGGTCACTCCTTGCGGCGCTCGGGGGAACAGGGACTCCCCCAGCGCCTGCTGATCCCCCCTAACCAGTTTATAACAGGCCACAAGATCCCCCCTCAGCCTTCTCTTTTGAAGGCTGAACAGGTTCAGGTCCCGCAACCTTTCCTCATAGGACCTACCCTGCTGTCCCTTGATCATACGAGTGGCCCTCCTCTGGACCCTCTCGATGCTGTCCACATCCCTCTTAAAGTGCGGCGCCCAGAACTGGACGCAGTACTCCAGCTGCGGCCTGACCAGTGCCGCATAGAGGGGGAGGATCACCTCCTTGGACCTGCTCGAGATGCATCTGTGGATGCACGACAAGGTGCAGTTGGCCTTCCTAGCCGCCTCCCCACATTGCCGACTCATGTTCATCTTGGAGTCAATAATGACTCCCAGATCCTTTTCCACCTCCGTGCTGACAAGAGGGGAGTTCCCCAGCCTGTATGTATGGTGCCGATTGTTCCTCCCCAGGTGCATCACCTTACACTTGTCTGTGTTAAACCCCATCCTATTCTCCTCCGCCCATCCTTGTAACCTATCTAGGTCCAACTGTAGCCTGTTGCTCCCCTCTATTGTGCCCACATCCCCCCACATCTTAGTGTCATCAGCAAACTTGAACAGGGTGCTTTGCACCCCCTCATCCAAATCACTGATGAAGATGTTGAACAGGGCGGGCCCAAGGACCGAGCCCTGTGGGACCCCACTTCCCACGTCCTTCCAGGCCGAGAAGGACCCATCCACTACCACCCTCTGGGTGCGACTCTCTAACCAGTTGGCGACCCATTGGACTGTATGGGTGTCTACGCCACAGTCCCCCAGCTTCCTAATGAGAATGGGGTGAGAGACAGTGTCAAAAGCCTTCCTGAAGTCTAGGAAAACTATATCCACTGCCACCCCTGCATCCAATGATTTAGTGACCTGGTCGTAAAAGGCCACCAGGTTGGTCTGACAGGACCTGCCGCTGATGAACCCGTGCTGGTTGCCCCTGAGCATGCAGTTCCCTGCTGGCCCCTCCTGGATGTGTGCCAGAATAATTTTCTCGAACAGAATAGAATAATTTTCTCAAAGCAATTAGTATTTGCCTCAGATTCAGCCGATTCGGGGGACAGTGATTCAAATCACTGTCCCAAATCGATTTGGCCAAATGGACTGCAGCTGAATCAACCCCATCCCCCGCCCACTCTCAATGGCTGCCCCACCTGTTCCCCCAGCTCCCTGTTCTTTAAAAAGCTCCCAGCTGCTTTAAAAAGCTCACCAGCTGCTCCCAGGCATGAAGCGATCCCTAAGTCCCCAGAACCACCAACCAGCTGCTGCAGCGGCCTGAGTCCAGGGATTTTGGGTTTTGCTTTTTTTGGGGGGTTTTTTTTTTGTTTTTTTAAAAAGAGCTGGGAACTGGGACAGGTGGGACAGCTATGGGAGGGGGTGGGGCAGCCATTGATGGGGATGGGAGAGCAGGTGAGGGATGTGCTTGGCCTGGCAGATTTCGAAATTCGGCAGGAGCCAAATCTGTGAATCAGATTTGACTGAATTGATTCAGGACAGTGATTCAAATCACCAAATCAAATCACTGTTCCCCAAATTGGCTGAATCCAAAGCAAATACAACTGTTTCACACAGGCCTACTGGCTACGGTCTGTGCAGTGGGAGGGGAGGGGGGAATCTCTGCTTGAGCAGGGAGTGGGGCGGGGCATCCACGGGGAAGCCAGGCAGACACTGGTCTGCCTGCAAGTCTCCACCGGAGCTCCAGCCAGG